TTTTAATACATTGTAGTAAATAAAATATAATTGAACTTAATTCAGATAGTGTCAAAATATCCTAATGGTAGACACCAGAAAATCCTACTAAGCATAAATTCCTAATTTTAAAAATTAATCAAATTATGATAGATCATATCTAACAATATTTTGAAATTTTAATTGAACTAAAACACTATTTTTAGATGTTAAAATAAATTTCTAAATTAATAAAAATTACTTTTTTTCAGAATCACCTAGCAAAAAAAATCTCAAAATAAATATTAAAAATAATCATAATCTTAATATCTATAACATATAAAAAATCACGTTAAAAAAATTTTACCAATATAAAATTATATTCATTTTTTTATGACGAAAACATAAATTTAGTTCAAAAAGTCTCAAAACTATAAAATTATTGAAATTTGAAATAAGATAATGATTACTTACCATGAGAATATACCAATAGAGACAATTGATGAAAATTACTCCAGCCTCCAAATCTAGCTTTTTTCTCTCTCCTCAAATTTCTCTCTAAATCCTCTTTACATTTCTCTGTTGCCAAAATGAATAGAAAAAATGGGATAAAAAAACTTATTTGTCAAAAGATGATGACTTCTTCCCCATAGACGTCAATCTCTCTGAATCAGTAACCAAAGATAAATAATCATATGTACTCACTAAAACTATGATCATTATGATTATATGATTATAACAAATAAAGGATCAAATGCATGCCATTTTGAGGGTACATATAATATTATTGGCATTTTGTATTGGATATAAAATCTCAAAACTTCTCTTTTCTATATGATGCTCGTTTGTGTACTTAATTAGATATAAATCTCAATGTATATTTGAATTCAAAACTTTTAAAATCAAATTCAAGATCATCCAATATTTGATTTCAACAAACATATAATCAAATTGAATTCCCTGAATGATCTGATTTGAGTCCAAACAAGCACAGATCAAAAACTTCAAATATTACTAGAAACTTGAGGATGATTGATGTGTGAAATGAACTCCAAATCTTGCATACTTAAAATCAAATTGAGTGTTTCAACGAGATGAATCCAATAAGCAGAAGATTGCCTAATTATGATATTATTAAGGAATCTAAATATTGAAAGAATATTATGTGATCAATATGATCAATACAAGTTGTTCGATGGAGTGTTTCATATTATAAAGGACCTATGTTTTTTTTTGTGTATTGATTTGTAGCATAAATAATCAATGGAGAATGATTCGAGCACCTAGGATTTTCTTCTCAATAGAAAGAGAGAGAAAAGAAATAGGGTTATTAGTTCTGTTACCGAACCATGCATAAAAAATTCTAGTATAATGTAACACTTATTGTTCCAGTACCTAGTTAATCAACTTAACCTAGAACAAATTCTTGTTTAATCCTGATTCATTTTTAATTATAATTTATTTGTGGTCTAATTAACCTCAAGTAGGATTAGAATGGGAATGGGGAAGGGAAAATCATGAGTAGCCAAATGCTCCTTGGAGCGCTGGGAGAGGCAACATCGCTTCATTTTTCTCTCTATTTGGGAGGAGGATTTAGGGGAGCACTACGATGTTGGATAATGTTACATCAACGCTTAGCTCTCGAGTTTGAAGAATCTTGGAGCATCTAAAATGCTTTACTTTAGTGTAGCAGTGTTGGAGAGGTGAGCATCATGGCGTTCAACCCAAAATGATGTATATATATATTTAAATCTAGTTCTATTAATCCCTCAGACCTAGCCCTCATTTGTCAAAGAAGAAGAGAAGGGAAGAGAGAGAGAGAGAGAGAGAGAGAGAGAGAGAGAGAGAGAGAGGATTTGTAGGCCATAGCTTGGAGTTCGTCCATCAAGCCAATTAGAGAGAACATTGTGCTCGAGGTTGGCTTCCAATATCCTATTTCTTATTTCAGTTCTAACATTTTTGTGAATAGATAAAGAGTAAAAAATAGATTTTTTATGAGTATAACTAACATTTTAATACATAACTTTTAGAATGATGCAAAATATTTTATTATGAATATTTTTACTATCAGAAATAAAGTTTTTGCCCATTGATTGTAATTATGCTAATTAAAATGTTGTAGAATACTCTGTTATGAGTATTTTGGCTATAAGAAAAGAAGGTTTTACCCGCTGGTTTTAGTTATAAATATTCCTCAATTAAGAACTTATGACCTTGAGATTGATGGTAATCCCCAAAAAAGTCTTTAAATGATGTTTTAAAAATTAATTATGAATATTATATTAAATGATGAAAGTTGAAAAATATGAATAATATTCATGAGTATATTATCATCTTATGAATCTAATTATTCGATCTATAAAATTTTTGTATAACCCCTAATATTTAAACGACAAAAATCATATTGATCTTAGAGATCTTGTGATGAAGGAGGCCAATTTGTTGGCTTTATTGAAATGTTGGGCTTTATTAGTTGCTAAATTATTGAACTGAAGATCATTCAAATGAACCAATGTATTGGACGAGAAGAAAAGTCAATATCTTATATTTTGTCATCTCTCGTCCAGTCGTTCTAATAATATGCAAGATGTTCTGAAACCAGTCTCATCGACCAGAACAATTATTAGGTTAGGAGATCTGATGTAGCTCTACGTTCATATGCCAATAATATTTTGCCACGTCTTCTTACTTTTACCGCGCGGCCCGACGACCCGACCCTGATCGGAACCCTAAATTGCTATGTTCGTGTATTGTTCGGTATTGCTCGGCATTGCTTGGCAAAAACGTGAAATACCGCTCTGTGAAGACCAATACTGAGCAATACCGAGAAAATCTCGGTATTGCTCGATATTGCTCGGTATTGCTAGGTATTGGCCTTCACAGAATGCTATTTCTTGCTATTGCCGAGCAAAATCGACCAATATCTAGCAATACCGAGCAATACGCGAACATAGCAATCCCGGGTCCATTCCGGGTCGGGTTGTCGGGCCGCGCGGTAAAGAGTAAGAACACGTGCATGACACTATTTTACTGGCATCCGAACGTAGATCTACGTTAGGTGACCGGACCAAATAAAAGTTCGATCGAACCAAATTGTGAATCTCGCGAGAAATTCTACTACTCAAACGCATCAACTTACCTATTTTGTTCACCGTCCGGTGACCACAACACATGCCATTTACGACGTATGAAATGATCCAATCATTTACGTGTCCTCTCGTCCTCCCCAAACAATAAGCCAATTTGGAAAAATCGGCAAAAACTTTTTTATTTAAGACAAACAAACGAAAATTGACGTGAAATGTTTCAGTGAGACATTAAAAGCCAAATAAAATTCAGACTCTCTCTCTCTCTGCCAAAAAATTAAAATTTTCATCTAAATTGTATGCATATTCAACCGCAGCCCAATGATCTTCCCTTTATCTTGGCTCGGTACAATCACCAACTTTGACACGGGTCCGCCCACCTAATGAAAATTAATAGTAAATATTATAAATTATGAGGGTAAATTAAAATAATAGAAGCTTATAATGACAACTAATTTAATAATTATTTTGTTTTGATGAGGGAGAAAACTAAATGATCAAGAAGACATAAATAAGAAATTCGGGGTTGATGGATATTTACGATTATTAATAGGATATGTTGAAAGTATAATAACGGTGAATTATTGATTTGATTATTTTTTTGATAGAAGGGATTGGATGATGACAGAGACATGTTAGATGTCTGGTTGATTAATATTAAATGTTGATAGTTGTTTGACAATCGTCAAGATACATAAAAAATTGAGTGATACTGGACAACCAACTAATCATTCTCTTGATAGGAAAAGAGAGTTAACTACCAAGAGATGATTTTCGAATTTCAGTCATTAATAGGTATCAAAAGATGATCAATAGAGAATATCAAAAGCTGAACCTTGGTTAGCTTGGTTATTCTATTGATAAGAGAGGAGACTGGACGGTTGGAAAGATGAGCATCAAACATTGATAAGTGATAAATGCCAAACATCAATAGTTACTCGTAGTGTTGAGTGATGGTATATATAGGTGTTTGAAAGTTGTGTATTTTTGAGCAATTAGCTTGGTCGTTCTTATAATATAACTAGATTGGACTACTATGAAGATGAGCATTAAACATTAGTGCACATTAAACAATATTTATTGGTAGGTTTCAACAAATAATTGAAAAGGGTAAAAGTTGATAGTGTAAATGATTAGCTTGGTTAATTTTATTGAGAAAAAAAATGATCGATCGATAAGAAATACATTAGCTTTCAGTGATTCATGAACATTGAGCATAAAATAATTAGCAAACAATGTAGCATTTATAAATCACAATAATAATTGGAGAAATTTAATAATTTTCATTTTTGATAAGGTCAAATCATATGCTGCATAATTAAGTATTCAGTATTAAGGAAAAGATCTATATGTTCTTCATAGGTTTTAAAAGATTAGGTACATAGAATTAACTCAACTCAGTTAAATACCAAAATCATGTCTAACAATACTCCAACAAAATAAATTTGAATAATGATTTAAATGCTTGTTTTGTTGAAACTCTACCTAAATCATGTCTAACAATACTCCAACAAAATAAATTTGAATAATGATCTAAATGCTCTTGTGTTGAAAACTCATATATTTATTTAAAAAAAAAAAAACATATATCAAATTTTAAACTCCTTTTTAAACTTTTTTATTAATTCTTATTAAACTCAATTCTTATTAAACTTTTTTATTAATTCACCTCTAATAGTATATATAGTTCTGAAAATGCATAAAGATTATGCAAAATTGATTAAAATAAATAAAATTTTTAGTAAAATTTAAATATTTAATATTACATTATATTTATCAAAAATAAATATAATAAGTTATTTATAATTGATGACACTTAATGACATAATTTTACAAAACAAGATAAAATAATTAAAAATAACACTTAAGAAAATACTCACATAACTTAATTGGTGGCCCGAACTCAGCCCGGCTTAGTTCCCTTCCCCTGCCTATTTAAATCCCACCGCAAAATCATCTCTGTATTACTCTCCGTGTATGTGAGAGAGAGAGAGAGCGACAACAGAGGCAAAAAATCCATCACATATTTTTCTTCCAGTATCCCATTAATGGCCGGCGGCGAGAACGGCGAACATGGAGGCTCCGGCAGTCGCCTCGAATCCATCCTGAACTCCCACACGCTTCCTCTCCACAAACGTCTCCTCCTGGCCTCAGGCGTCGAAATCCGTCTCCTATTTCACCTCGCCGCCCCTGCCGTGATCGTCTACATGGTCAACTACGTGATGTCGATGTCGACGCAGATATTTTCCGGCCATCTCGGAAATCTTGAGCTCGCCGCCGCCTCTCTCGGAAATACCGGCATCCAGGTCTTCGCCTACGGTCTCATGCTCGGGATGGGCTCCGCCGTAGAAACCCTTTGCGGCCAGGCTTACGGAGCCCAGAAGTACGATATGCTCGGAATTTACATGCAGCGCTCCACCGTTCTTCTCACCGCCACCGGAATCCCACTCGCTATTGCTTATGCCTTTTCGCGTCCTATTCTAATCCTTCTTGGCCAATCGCCGGAGATTGCCAAGTACGCATCAATCTTTGTCTACGGACTTATTCCCCAAATCTTCGCCTATGCGGCCAATTTCCCCATTCAGAAGTTTTTGCAGGTAAGTTTATAATTGGAGCAGTATTTTTTTAAAATATAATAAAATTTAAAATATCTTTTCAATTACATTAATCTACAGGCGCAGAGCATCGTGGCGCCGAGCGCATTCATATCAACGGCCACGGTGTTGCTCCATCTCGTGCTGAGCTGGCTTGTGGTTTTTAAGCTGGGCTTGGGGCTATTGGGGGCGTCACTGGTGCTGAGTGTCTCCTGGTGGATTGTGGTGGCGGCCCAATTTGTTTACATCGCCACCAGCCGGAGGTGCCGGCTCACCTGGACCGGGTTTACTTGGCAGGCGTTTACAGGGTTGCCGGAGTTCTTGAAGCTGTCGACGGCGTCAGCGGTGATGCTGTGTTTGGAGACTTGGTATTTTCAGATACTGGTGCTAATAGCTGGGCTGCTTAAGAACCCTGAGCTTGCGCTTGATTCGCTCTCTGTTTGGTAAGTTCTCGTTAGCTATCTTCGGCTTTGAATTTCTATTTTTTTTTTTATTTTTTATTTTTAAGTTTTAATGTGGAGGTTTGGTTTGAAATTTGGTTGGACCGGAGCGTACCACTGCCAGCTCTGACAAATTGGCATGATAGGCGCGACGTAGTAGGCTGCTTTATGCAGAAAATCAGACTGAGGATAATTTTGTAATATCATTTCAAGGATAATTTCGTAATATATCATAAGATAAATGTTTAGGGAAAATAACGTTATTCAATTTGAAGTTATGCAGTTTCACCTTTATTTGGTCTCTTTAAAATGTAAATGAGCATTTTGTTTTGATGCAGTTCACCTTAATTGGTTTTGTTGGGGAGGAATTTAGGCTTTCAAGAGGTCTTAGATCTGAATTTTTTATCTTCGAAGTGTGTGAATGTACGATTTAATTTGCTTAATGTCCAACAAATTAGCGCTTTGAAAACTTAGGAAATTAAGAATTATTAGAAGTCGAAGTTAGTTGGAAATTATTGACGATGATTAGTTTGATCTGGATAGTCTAGATTTTATGAGAATCCCGTGACTTTGGCCTCTTTTTAGTTTATTTTCAATCATTTTTCTATTTTGTTAGTTTTAGGGCATCTTCATCTTTTTTTCACAATACAGTAATAGTAATTAATCTCTAACTGAAAATTATTTCTAACTCCAATAAAAATATAATGTATGTATTCTTTCTCATCTCTCTTTTTATATTTATTTTTTGACATAAAAAAAAGATTTGTGACTAGTGCGACACAAACATGTGTTTCTATTTGTGGCTGGGGTGGGCACTTGCCGGAGCTGCAAATGGGTGAATAGTGTTTGGTTGGCGAAATTATTACATGCGGTCATCGGAGGCCAATTAGGACGTGCCATGTCATCTATACATATGTATCATTTGTATAATGTTGTGTATCGGGCGATGTGGCACATCCTGATTGGCCTCCGGATGATGTGGTGACTGCAAGTAATGATCTTTTGTTTGGTAGTAGATGCCTTAGCTGCAGGTGTATTAATTGCTCTGATTGTAGTATATGAAAAGTGATAAGAAATTTGTAGAAGGATTTATTTAAAAATTATAAAATATATTTTTATAATCTTCAGCTTAGTCCTCATATTTTATTCTATTTTTTTGGAGTTTACTTGATTTTTTAAACTCGTAGAACTGTAAAAAAATAAAAAAAAGGAAATCATCAGGATTAGGAAAATAAGATATAGTAATGGAATCGTTGTTAAAGTTTTTACACCGTCACAACATGTTTGCTTAATCTGTTTCCCTTCTATTTTTTGACGTATTCCTTCTACACTTCTCATGCTCTAGAATCTTTAGATAGGATATGCTATTTAATTTATTTATATTTGATTTTAAATTAAATTAGTGAAAATCTTCAAAATAATTAGTTAAAATCTTCAAGATTTTAATTTATAATATATTTTCTTAAAGAAATAAAATAAAATAATAACAATGAAATTGTTAAAATTTTCATTGCATTGTACTACGGAGTTCAGATAGAACAAATACCTTGAGTGATCAACGCCGATGTATCGGTGTGCATTTTCTGCAAACGCTCTCTGAATTTGTAACTTAATGATTTTGAAAGGATTGAAACCTATTCTAAATACTTTTTTTAAATTAATATGGCACAAATCATTTGTAGATAAGTGGACATAGGTCAGTTACAAAACAAAGTTCATGTTGATTACTACTGAACATTTTGTTAATGAAGATCACAGACGAGATTCAAAGCTATGACCTACACACTAAGCGCTACATGAACTAGAGTTCTTAAGTAGTAACTAATCTTTAAAACTTTTAGTTCCTCTATGTTCTATATTCACCTGTTGAATTTAGATAGTATGAATCATTTGTAATTTGTCGTTGTTCATTTTTCTTAACTTATACATTCACCATCAGTATTTATGAAGCATCAGAAAAAAATATACGTGTACCTTAAATGATAATTTTTAAAACATTTGTTTTAGATATATTTGGCAAATACACTTTGTGGCTTCCGGAAATAAACTACGGACAGAAAGTTGGAAATCTAGGTGTCTGATCTCCTTTATCAGTCGATATATCTGCCCGCCAAACTTTAAAGTTTAAACCAAGAAAAACAAAGCCCGGAAGGATTAACTAGCACGTTAAAAACTATGGTTACTAGAAGATTCTTCATTCCTAATTCCAACCAGATGAGATTATGAAGATGCAAATGACAAAAATATTTGAGTTGAAAGTGATTTTTTTTTCTTATTTGATTGGTAAGAAATTTGTTTGTTTGTTTGTCAGTTTTTGTTTGAGTTGGATGAGAAATAGTTTTCATAAATTAAATTAACTATGACTGACATTTGAATATCTACAACTCTCCTTGGCCTATTGGTTGAGAGCTTAGGCTTCCAACTAAGAGGTCCAAGGTTCGAGTCCATGTGTATGCGTTGTGTGTGTGAGTTTGCCTTAAATGGCCTAAATGTCCCAAAAAAAAAACATTTGAATATCTAATTGCTTCAAACCAAACTTACCCTTTGTGAATGCTATTTTTTTAAGTAACACAGTTCCCATCAGATTTGTCCTGCTGTACAGCTGAGGCTCTAAGCGCAGTTGCTGTGAGCCACATGGCTTTCACATACAAATGTGTATATATAGATATAGTTGCTGAGCAAGATCTAAAAGATTAGTAACTGCTTAAAATTACAGTTTAATTTATGTTAGGTAGCACTAAAAGGCAAATCTGTTGTTAAAATTTTGATTGATTTTTAATTGGATAATTACATCTCTAAGTCTTGAAAAATTCCTTTCGATTCAATGACTGGCATGAATTTTATAATCTTGTTTTAGTAGTTAATTTCTTTAATGTAAAATTATAGAGGGGCATCCCTCCCGCCTTCCCCCTTTCCCCTTTCCCCCCTGCTTAAGTGCACCCTTATTACAATATACTTTTAATGTACAATTGCTAACAATATATGAATTGATCAATACTTCCAGTGATTTTTTTCCTCTTTATCTGTAATGGCATAGATATTGTTAATAAAATTGAGTCTAATTTCTATTTGAACTTGTATCTTATTGAAGCGTTCTAACATCCATGGACACCAACTCTATAGTTTTCCTTTGTGTTGACATCAGCCCTTTCTCTTGAGTCTTGAAGAGTTGAAAGTGCATGGAAATCTTTATATTTTTCAGGCTTTTCAAAGCAATCATTGTGTGACTTTTTGTAATTGATAAATTATGTTTTACTTATAAAGTGTGTTTGTGGGTGCAGCATGACAATTTCCGGTTGGGTTTTCATGATTTCGGTCGGCTTTAACGCTGCTGCCAGGTTAGTATATCTGTTAATTTGTTTTCTTTTTTATTACTCATCTAAATTGTTTTTTTTTTAATCTATGGTTATCCTAGAATAAAGATCCATGTTAGGCCATGGCCTAAAAATATGCTTCTGACTATGTGCACATGATATAGGAACTCTCTTTTAGCACATAAGCATTGGAGAGGTTGTTGTAAAACTCTCTCTCCTACCAAGAGCCTCATCTTTGAAGCGCATGCTATCCCCAAATACTAATATTTGTGATTCAATCGTTCATCTACCAGAAAAAGGGGAATTCTTTTACAAGTTCTTACTAAGATCCTAATTAAGAACTTTGAACGAGACATCAAGCTTTATTAGCCTATTTGAATGAATCTTAAAGCAAATTGTTGTATTAAACACTCATTTGATTGCTTGAAATATATAATTATATATGATCAATTCATCATATATGACCATTTTGTTGTATATAATTAGAAATCAATGTTGATTTTAAACTCTAAATTTCTATCAAAATTGATTATTTTATTTTTACATACAAAATAATTATTTTCTAAATCATATTTATCATATTACAACCAACCAAAGGAGCCTTAATTAGATATCAAAAATTCAAAAAAGAAGAACATGTTGACAAAGATTTTATTTAAGTGTTATTTAGTTACAGCATTCGTAGTGTGATGAAAACAAAATGTTTAAGATTTGAATTTTCGGGTGATTGGTTAGAATACAAGCATATTTTGATTAATTTTTTGAGGTATTTTGAATTACTTATGTAGTTCATTTTCAATATATTTGAAATTCGCCTGATTTGGCCAGATTTCAAATACAGTGAAAATGTGAAGCTTCATCTACCACACTGCCGCCGCCGCCGCCATCCATCAGACTTTTTTTTTCTAATTATCTTCCACTCGAATTCCCAGTATCCCAACTTGTTTTCCCTAATCACTAAAAGTGCTTAAATTTTGGCACCTTTAATACCTCTGAAGAAATGTGTTCTTACAAAAGTCGTTTAATTTGTTATAAAATTACAGTGTGCGTGTGAGCAATGAACTAGGAGCAGGGAATCCCAAATCTGCTGCCTTTTCAGTATTTGTGGTGACAATAATCTCCTTCATCATATCACTCATCATTGTGACGATCATCCTTTTCGCTCGAGACTATATCAGCTACATATTCACCGAAGGTGAGACGGTGGCTAAAGCCGTATCAGATCTCTGCCCTTTACTCGCCATCACAATCGTTCTCAATGGCATCCAACCTGTCTTATCAGGTGAACGCCTTCCCTTCCTCTCTCATATCACTATATATTTTTCACTTATCTTAATCTCGATCTCATATGAATTGGCTCATGAATATACAAAATTTTAGCGTTTATGTCATTTAACTTTGATTTCATTCGTATTCAAATCAAGGCCGAAAAAATGAATATGAATTTAGATTTTTTTGTTTAAAAATCTGCTTTACTTGTTTCTTTTATTACACTGAGGACAGACAGAACATGACTCTATCTCTATTTGGTTTTTTGCAGGTGTGGCTGTTGGCTGTGGATGGCAGGCCTTTGTTGCTTACGTTAATGTTGCCTGCTATTATTTTGTTGGCATACCTGCTGGTATCCTCCTCGGTTTCGACTTTGGCCTTGGCCTTGGAGCAAAGGTAAATAATTAAATTTGTATAGAAACATGATTTTTGTTTTGGGGAAGAGGGACTGTTCAGTCATTTAAAGATAAATTCACACACACACATGGGCGGAACCACATAATGTTTAGGCCCCCCCTCAAAAAAAAAAAAAAAATTAAGAGAAAAAAAAAAATTTATAGGAGAGTAAAAAATTTTTTTCCCACCCCCACCCCTAAAAAACTCGTCCTAACTTGCCCTAAAATATATAAATATTTCTACACATTTAGTTATAATATTCTCTTTCATGCTTTTCATGACAGTTTAATTACACTTTTTTTTATTTTTCTTGCTTAATTTTTTTTTTAATAAACTTTTCGTAATATATAGGTATATACTATTTTTTTTAATATTTAATTATTTTTGTTTTTTATTTGCCCCCCTCAAAATTGAAGCTGGTTCCGCCCCTACACACACATCACATACACAAATTTTAAACTCAAGACCTCTTGATTGATAGCCAAAATTCTGAATCAACAGATCAAGACGAAAAACTGAAGCTAACACCTAAGAGAACAAGAGAACAGAGTAGGGAAAACTTTCCTGAGCAAACCGCCGAAAAAAATGCCCGCCGCCGGCGGGGAAAAGCCACGCCGCCACCAAGAAAACCCTAGGGTTTTCTCAGAGAGCGAAAAAAGATATTAGGACCTCTCGCGCTGCTTCATATCAAGGTGAACTACATGATAGTGCTATGTTCTTGATAAAATAGTAGTAACATGCTAAGGCTTTGGGTTTTTTTTCTGTTTAATTTATTATAAATAATGTTTAATTACATGAAAAATATGGTTAGAAATTCATTATCAACTTCACGAGCTCAAGGTTGAGTACTAAAACAGCTCTTATTTTTATGTGAAAATTAGATGATTTTATTTCAGTGGATAAGATAAAGAGGGTTGAAATTGAGCTTATATAACAGTAATTAAACTCAATTTTAAGCCATAAATAAGTCTTGTTTGTGAACAAAAGCAGGTACAAGTTATATATCTATACTCACTACGTGTATAATTTTTTTTTTTTTTTTTTTACTGCTATATCATTTGAAACTGGTAACTAAATTCCAAAGTAAAATTTTTAAATCATTTAGAGGATTTCGTGTCATTCTAATGAAATTTTAGTATCTATCTATACCTACACATGGAAATTTCTTACTGCAGAAAGAAACTAAATGATCATAAAATGCTGCTTAATTAATAATTTGTGCAGGGAATCTGGTCGGGTATGATTGGTGGAACTTTCATACAAACTCTCATTCTTCTTTGGGTCACTTTCCGAACCAATTGGAGCAAAGAGGTAATTAATGCTTTCTCCTTCGTTCTCAAAAAAACTTTCTTACCCGATATTCTTAGTTATACGTATTAAACAAATCTAATGACCCTTCACTTGTGATAGAAAACAATTCTGTTAGGATAAACAAATTATAGCAAGATATGATACACCCTACTAAGATATGAGGTGTTCATAAAGTCTATACTATCCATGAATTAATTCAAAACAAACAAAGGTCTTTTAATTCTAAATTATATTGGAAAAGATAGAACAATTGAACTTGCCTTCCTCCTTTCTAGAGTTTATTATGTCATTTTCAAAGTTGCGTAGGGAAACGGCAATTAAACTCTATTGCCAATGATGTCTTTGTAGGTAAATAGAATAATTATAAAGTGATTAATACTAAACCTTTGTCATCAAACTATTTCTACGTCATTAGCCTTAGTTTTTTCCAAAATACAATACTCAGTGTCACTTTGGTCGCTGGTGATTGCTCATATATGAATATCTTTAATTGCTTTTGTTTGGGACGAATTTTTTATTACTTCTTAAAACAGAATTTTAGTACAAAAATTATTATTATTTTTAAATAAAACTCTAATCATTATCTAATATTTAAGAAAAAAAAAGTGGTATTCAATTCCAAATCTGAAACTAAATATAACAAACCTGGAATAATAGAAAATGGAACATTAATGAGATTATTGATATACTAATTATTATTTAACAGTACAAATTGTTTTTAATTATAGGTTGAAAAAGCCCAGAAAAGGTTGGAGGCATGGGATGATAAGAGGAAACCTCTACTTGCTAACCAAAGCCGATAAACTTTTGACAAAGGAGAACCATTCCATGGTTTAGATCTCTATATGATTAACCAGATTTCTTAAATTGGATGAACAATGTGATTAATAAATTTTTAGTTTTTAGTATTTATTTATATTTTATTTAGCATTTTTATTTGTAGAAATAAAGTGTGCTTGAGATCAAAGTGTTATAGAGACCATTCATGTTCTCCAATATACCTCGGCTGGGCGCAACGTCGTAATGGTCCTTTCTTCAACTTGTACAATAGTCTATACAAACCTACATCCTGTAATTGTAATAGCAGGTCAATGAAAATTAATAAAGTTTTTTTCTTTCCCTGCTCTTTGTCTTCTGGGTCTCCGGCCATGTTTTCCCAGTATCATAGTAACAATAATTTGTGGTGGTTCTTCTTCCTCTATTCTTCCATCTGGAAATCAACCAGAATTTGCCACATCAACAATACCGAGCAACACCGAGCCGGGTACCAAGCAGGGGGTGATGTGGCGCATTCCGGTTGGTCTCCGGACTGCATTAGGCATTCAACGTCTGCACAGAATAATTTCGTCCATTGGGGACTCGGGACTTGAGGATTGATGATTCTATTAGTTCTTATTATTTGCATCATTCCAAAAGCTCGGGTATTTATCTCTTTGGTATGGCATATCTTTGAAACAATCTACAAAACAGAGATTAGAAAACAGAGTATAGCAGCAACAATAAGATAGAGTGGAGAGTATTTGGATGAATGTATTTTCATTGATTGGTCTTTTCTGTCTCGCCATACATGTATATATAGCATAAGAGAGAATATAAGTTTGTTACAAAGAATCAAATAGTACTGGTAGAAAGTGGTGTAGGCAGACAGCGGCCATCAGCTAGAATAATTCTCTGACCAAGGAAGTGGAGCAAACCAAATATAATAGAGTTTGCTTATATAAGTGGGAAATCATATCATATATGCTAACAGGCCCACGCAAACTTATAATTCAAGTGAATGAATTGTAAGTTTGTCTATGAGTAGTTTGAAACGAGCAAGAGCTAATAGTTTGGTGAGTATGTTAGAGGGTTGATCTAATGAATTGAAGATTTCTCAACCACCTTACAAACATCAATACCATACAAATCCCTTCATGGTTCCACCTATTCATCACCAAGTTCATCAATGTCATCAAACATCTCACCAGTCGGTGATGGAGATCCATCACGCCAAGCCAAAGGACCAATACAAGTAGTACCCACATTAGAAGCAACACAAGCATTTAATTCGTTAGTAGACATAAGAAAATCGGCAGCTCAACAAGGTGCTCATAATATAAAGAGCTCACATCAACAGGCGAAACATGCACGCCATCTGCAATTCCCATAATAAGGGGAGAAACTACCTCATCAAAATGTTCAAGAGAAACCATAGCCCCAGGTGGAGCAATGCACATAGACGGCTGAACCAAAACCCTATCCCTCTCATCATCCATCACCTCCTCAACATGAGACAAAGCCATGCCACAAACCCCAACTTCACCAGAAACATCCAAATTAACACACTCCACCGACTTAGGGACCACAATAGGAGAAATAAAACCAACATCACGCTGAAAAATAACATCACCAAGTTCTAAAGCATTCATAATCTCATGCCCCACCTCATTAAGCAAAGGAGACACAACATCAATATTATCATTAGCACAAATTCCATCATTATATTCACCACCTCAAAATCATGTGCCAACCCAACCAAATCAATAGCGAAATTCGCAAGCACATCAGCGACAGCCCTCTCCTGAATAGGAGGACCAACATTCAACTTAGGAAATAAGATAGGGCAGTTCTCCTTAGAATGACCCAATGTTTTAAAATGAAAGCAATACAATGGAAACTCTTCCATTACCATCAATTGGATGTACAACATAGACTAGGAACAAAGTCAAACTTATGAGGTATACCGTTTAGTAATATCTAATTCCACAACTATGCGAGCAACAGACGATCTAGTTCCATTCGTAGTGGCATTATCGATTCACAGAGGTCTACCAAACATAGACCTCAATCCATGAAGAATGCGAGGGGAGGTGAGGTCGCAAACTAGGAAAGGAAACCCAAATGAGCACAATAGGCGACTCCACATTTACATCAAAATGGGGAGTCCACTTAAAAAGCTTTATGAAACAGTTGGAAATGAAGTACAATTGATGAGAAAAAATCCTACAATAATCTAAGTCATTAACAAGCTTGATCAGCACAGTTTTAGGATTTAAAACAGTAACTGAAAAGGAGCCACAAAGCTTGAGGTTAAAGAAAAACTTTTGAATCAAGTCAAGAGGCGGGCGACATCCCATAAATTTTTCCACCAACACAAACTCTAAAGCCGCTGCAAGAGAAAGCAATTCCTCATTCGAAATGATTAATGCAGGCAAACCATGATGAGATGAAACTTTGAGCGGCGGAAAAATAGGCGACGTAGAATCACCAGATAAATCATCTCAAAACGCTTAGATTTAAGCTTACCATCCAAAAACCCAATGTCTCTTAATCGATTTGCAACCATACGGTAGAAAATCACAAGAAATCAAAGGTTTAGGGAAGAAAAATTACCGAGCAGGCACGACCCACGGGAGCGAAAACCCCAGACACAGAAACCCTAGATACCGCGCAAGTACTTGTTTGGAATAACAAGAGAAGAATTTGATACTATGAGATTCTTCTTGTAATGTATTTGGGTTGGTATTTGTTATTTGTTAGTGTCATTTTCTTAGTTTTATGCACTCCTCATGGGCTTGAGTTGGTTTTTCTTTGATGGTGTTTGCTACTGGGTTTTTTAATCTTGGGTGGTTTCTGTTCTTTGGTTGATGGGTTTTTGGGACTATGAAGAATTGGTTTCTATTAATCTATGTACCTTGGATGGCTGATCTGGCAACGAGTTTTAGTATTGGACAGTCAATTCTAGCAACCAAGGTTTTTTTGTTCATATGAGATTTTTATCCTTTGAATAGTTGGGTTGGCAACCAATTCTGACTTTGGATGGTCATTTCTTACAATTCAAGGGTTTTTATTTGTTTCTCTGAGACTTTGGATGGAGTATTATTGGGCGGACCCACGCACAACTGAGGGTGGGCAAATTCCCACCCTAACAAAATAAAAAATTTGCAGTTGAGGGGCAGTTTTGGAAATATGCCCCCCTCAAAAAAGTTATTTGCCCTAAATTTGGACATCGCAGTCAGCTTGCCCCCCCCCATCTCTTGTTCCGTTGTTCGCATTTTCTTTTTGCATCGCATCTCTTCATTTGCAGCCGCCTTTGTGAAGAGGTCGCCGGACGAGCCGCAGGCGGAACACTCTCGTTCACAATCGCAGCCGCCTCCATCTTCGCCTCTAAGCTTCTTCGTGAAGAGGATGCCGGCTCCACCCAGCCCTCTCTTTCCATTTTGCAGCAGCCTTCATTGATTTGAAGGTTTTTTTTTTTACTCCACTTCTATTTCTTGCTTCAGTTTTTCCTTATCTACATCTTGAAAAAATCTGATTTTATTTTCAATTTTTTGCTTGAGTTGCTTCAATTTTTTGGCGACTCCATACTACTCTGCCTGCATCTTGTATCATCATGCTAATTTAATATCAACATATTCTATTTTTCTATTAAAGTTTAACAACTAAAATAAGCTTAATTGTGCTTTTGTTGGCTAATTGTCACGACCCGACCTGATCTTCTATTTCTTGCTTCAGTTTTTCCTTATCTACATCTTGTAAAAATCTGATTTTATTTTCAATTTTTTGCTTGAGTTGCTTCAATTTTTTGGCGACTCCATACTACTCTGCCTGCATCTTGTATCATCATGCTAATTTAATATCAACATATTCTATTTTTCTATTACAGTTTAACAACTAAAATAAGCTAGCAAAATCAGCACTTTACAATGTGGTCCTTTGGTTCTCCACATTCTTTTGTAATAAGATTTATTTATATGCAATTTTCTGGAGGTTGTAGTCAAGGGGAATTTTGTTGCTATGCCATCAAAGTAGAGGATTTGTGTCCTGTTGCATTGCATGTTTGATAAACAATTCCAAATCATAATTGGAACTCAATAGTTCTACTATCCAAACAATAAAACTAATTCATTTCAGAGGTAGATTTGATGAGTAATTGATTAATTTATCGACACACGAACACATGCTAATGATATTAGACATTATTGAATTGATTTTCTTGATAACAAACTTAAGAAATAAGTTGCTTTAGTTTATAGATTTGCCAACTAAATTTCATAATTAAGGGTTTATTTGAGACATCTTTCTGTAATCTTTGCTTTTCAAATCACAATCACACCGATGTTTGGCTAATAGCTTATTGGCTGTGTTTCAACAAAAGTTTGTTTTCGAGAATAATTTTCCTTGGCTGAATTCTTCATCCGACATTCTGGTGGTGTAGCTTCCTTATGTAGTTTCTCATTCTAAGGTTTTATAATTATATCATCAGTAATTTAAAGAAATATTATGATAACTTGAAATAGTTTATCTTATGAAAACATGAAATAATTTGTGATGATGGTGTTTGCTTTAGGAATTATAGGACCTATCTATAATCAGTTTGTATTGTCATTTTTTATTAGAATAACAATTTAGCTAATTTGGATTGATTATTATTAGCCTTTTGAGAAATGGAACGATTCTTGAAGCGAAAAGAATGTGTTGAGATTGATATTGACAATCTATCTGTTGATCATGGTCTTCGACCATCCATTTGGAGTTATGAATGATCGTGATAGAGTTCGAAGAGCTTATTTATTGAAGGGAACACATCGACCGAAAAATCATCAATTTCCTCAAACAATGATAGGAAACATTGCACGTAGATTTAACTCAAAATTGTTTGAAGACTTTCCTGATTGGATGGAATATAGTATACATAAAGATGCATCATTTTATCTTTATTGCTATTTGTTTAAGCATTAAGAGCAAGTTAATATTAGCAAAAGCGGTGGAGACACCTTTATTGGTGAGAGATTTAAGAATTGGAAGCATACAGAGAAGCTATTGGGTCATGTAGGAGAATATAATAGCGCATAAAATAAGACAATACATAAATGTGAATCTTTAATGAAGCTTCAAGAAAAGAGTATTCCCGATTTATGGTCGAGCAAGGAAAGCAAGAATAAAAAAGAATATCGCATCATGTTAATTGCAGCTGCTGATTTATGGTAGTGGATACATAATCAACAATCAGTGGAAGCTGATATTTTAATACATGCCATTGAATCTTTTGACTTTGTCTTGGCACTGTATTTAATGATTGATATTTTATGAATTACAGATGAATTATCACAAGCTTTACAAAGAAAGGATCAAGATATTATAAA